TGGTTGCATTTCTCTAATTTCCCTCCGGACAGAGTTGAGGGGATAGGTTTGTAACATATACAGATATACAGCTATATTTAAAGGTAAAACAATAATAATTACGTGCAGTAACCCATAACATCTAACAAGAGTTCCCTTAAATTCAGATCGTGAATTCTGATTGGTTGTTATGGCTCTCTGCACTTTACACATTGCTCTATGCCTTACTAAAATGTCCTAAGACACCCCCACCAGTTTTAATATGGGATTTTAAAAGGTCTGAATGTGTCATTTAGAATAATGAAGACATCCTATATATAAGCATTTCTCATTGGTTTTCAAATTATATAGATTGCATAGAATAGGAAGCACTTAGATCAGGTTGAACATTTGGGATCATTTTTAGCTTTGTTATAGCATGAGCGGTATAATAGAATGGTTTGTTTTTCGGACTGAATCTTTCAGCGTGTGGAGAATTGCTTAAATTCAAATTAAAAGAAAATGTATACCATGATATTATACCCTGTTGGATTTACATACAAAATCATGGCAGCATTTTGCAATCAGTTTTCTAAGAATGTTCAACTTACAACAAAAAAAATATTTAACCCCAACTTACATTTCTGCTTCACGTGATGAAATATTACTTGAAAAAAAAAAATGAACACCAACAAAACCCAGCAATATATTTTAAGATATTCTAACTTAACTTTCTATGTTTTTCCAATTTGAGATACAGTAGAATCCCCATAATCCGGCATTAAAGCAACCAGCACTCTCAAGCAACCAGAAAAGAAAAAATCGAGGACATAATATGTCCTCATTTTTTTTTTTTTGCCGTTTGCTTGATAGACATGTGCACACAAAAATGTTTTTGTTACCAACTAAATTTATCTCTGTTTTCATCTTGCTGTGGCCGACAGCTAGATTCTGCAGCTGGCAGGTAAATGTGATCAACGGGCAGTGGGCGTGTGCAGTAGCCAGCCTGCAATTGGCTATGGCAATTAGAAATAGCCAATAGCAGAATCTAGCCAGCAGATGAAAGGGGCGAGGGGAGTGGGTGAGGGGGTTGCTTGAGAGATTATAGTAGCTTTCAAGCAATCAGAAACTACAGTTATCCGGCATCTAACAATCCCCATGGGTACTGGATAACTAGGAGTTTACTGTATTTAGTTTCTTTCATTACAAATATGTCAATTCTGTGAATCATACAAAATGAATGTTGAGAAAGGCTTTTCTGTATTACCAAACATAGTCAAATTTACATTCCCAATGAAAATGCATCACTATTGTGATGTGTCCACTTGAAGCCTTAAAGTGGAATTAAAGTTTAAAAAAAAAAAGCTGGAGCTTTTAGCCATAATGTGCTAGTGATCCCCGTGCAGCGCTGCACTCCTCCCTCGCCAGTGCTTCCATCTTCCTCCGGATCTCCTTCCAGGCATGCGCACAGGAGTTAATTCATCTCAGCATCCCGAGTCAATGTACTGAGCTTTGCATGCCTGGCTCTAATCATTCAATGTTCTTTGGGGTTTTGCCTGAGAATTTCAGACACTGGGCTTGATGTCTTAGTGGAAAAGAGCGTAGTCCCTTTACAAAGTGAATGCTCACGTAGTTTAATGTGTATTTCCACTTATGCAGTCAATTTTTGCTCCTATTCACACAGCATACCTAAGAATAATTTAAAGATATGTCTGACCTTTCTGGTTGATTCTTTGGAGTAGCCTGCAATGTTCAGAATATCTTGCAAAGTTCAATTAGATGCACAAAAAGTGCCTCTAATATACAATGTACTACCCAAGTCTTGAAATGTTTAACCCTTTATTAGGACAGATATATATTACAACTGATAATGAGATCTGCCAGTCCCCTCCTTAACATTACATAGAGGGGAAAAGCTAGGTAAGATTTTTAAGCAAGTAGAAAGCAAGTAATATAAGCAGCATTGTTTACTAAGTTATGATATGTGAATGGGAACGTGTGAGAAATATTAAGTAGGTGTTATATCAATTTAGCTGCAAAAGTGGAAATGCACTTTAATCCTGAGGTGAAGCTGTGTTCAGTTCAATCATTTAATAGTGCGCAAGCAAAAATCCTGTTTTTAATTTAGGTTTCCCTTGTATATTTTTATTTAAAGTGCACACAGCTTCATCGAATTTATTAAGCTAAGTAAACAGCCTCTACTCTATTGGTGAATCAACCCCATGAATTCAAATTTAAGACATTATTGGCAGCATCTAAAAACAACAGAATTTTCCAATCAAAAAAAGTTAAAGTGTTGGTGCCATTTTTTAGTCAAAAAGCCTGCAGCTCTCTATAGATGACAAAAAAGCTGAAGGATAATAACAAAAAAATATAGAAAGTACCTGATTGGGAGTTTTCACTCCCAATCAGTCCATCTATCATGGGTCCCAATAAGAGATGGCCTCTCCTTGGAATAAATGGGAGTCGAGGGACTGTGCAGGAGATTTTACAGCAGCGGCCATGGAGCTTGCTGTGGGCCTCACAGAATGGATCGTTCAGGAGCTTGGAAAGGGGAAACCTTTGGGTTTGTGCTGGTTGTGGGCGGTTTAAAAAAACAGTGTATGAAACAGAGACAGTTATCTTTTAATGAATACTCAACTGCATTCATTTGATTTTAATATATGCTTTAATGCTTATGGCTATTTTATCCCATTTGTTCTTCCTATATGAAAGACAATTGGGTAAGTGCTAGGCATTAAAAGAGATATAAGGATTTACTTTTGCCAAAACCAAACCACAGTAGGGCGTACATATATACTGGTGTTCCTATGTTCTGCCACTAATCTAATAATTTCATCTTCATGTATGTTGCACTGTTTGTACCCACTTACCATGGCAATAGAAATAACATCATGTGAAAAGGAAATGTATATTTTTATCTATTTTTTTTCTGCAAGGAGTATTTAACCAGCGTAATTCTTCTGATCCTGGGAACACACTGTGCGTGGTCTAAAAACAATCTATGCAGGTCCCATTGAGCATCAATCATTTTTGCATAACAACACACAGAAGTCAGAGCTTAGTCAGAGCTGCAGTTATGGTGGAGAGCAGTTCTGTCAAGCTGGATACATGGATTACTATCTGATTGTACAACCTCTATACAATTTCCTACCAGAAACTATGTATTGTGGTAGTTGACTAAAGATTGCATTCAATTGTTATCCAGTTAGGTAGACACTCACTCAAAAAATCGGTTACTGGTCAAAAATAAGCCTCTCAAAGATGTACCAATATTGTAGTAATATAGATAGCATGCAAATGTCTTATTATGGCAGTATTCACTAAGATGATATCAGTAAAGTAAGCTCTGGTTGGTTACTGTGGACTGTGGTTTAATGTACATTGTGAATCATCAAAATAATTTGTATTGCCTAAATGAAATAGATGCATAGTTCTAATTTATATATATTTTTACACGGAGATTGATATACGTACAGAGACATTGCATATCTGCACTAAAACCTTGATCTTTTCTCTTAATTATCTGGTTTGTTATTTTGAAATCGCAGTATAAAGCAAAAGTAATGGTGAAAAAAAAAATCTGGGTTTAACCAATCATTTTTAGCATATAAATTGCTAATGGTACACATAACTGGCGGCGTGGCAAGAGTGGGTCCATTTCGTAAATACATTGTGCTGGAAGGTGTCCCTCTTTCTGATCTCAGAAAGTTGGGAGGTATGGCTTTGAATAAACTATTTTCCTCAGTACAAATCCTCCAAGCTGTCACCCTTTCATTTGCAGAGGCCTTTCCTTAAACGATCTGAATAATCGCATATTGAGTTATAAACACTCCAATTTGGTGGTTGAACTCTTGCTTTGTGCTACAGAGATTTAAACAAAGGTGCCAAAACCAAAGCTTTTCCACTGCTGACTACTTAGAAACACCTTAGATAAGTCATAGCAGTCTCTAGTTTGTTTTAGTCATTCCGAGAAAATGTCGACCTTGCTTTGGATAGGATTGATTTTCTTTATAGGCCGCAGTACACTGCAGAAAACGTGTTTACCGAATTTGATCCCCGAACTGACATTGTTAAACCTTCATTTTATGGTTCTCTGATGTTAAAAATATTTGTTTTTGACTATATATTGTCACTCATTTTTTATTACATTTATTATTATGAGCCTTTCATTGACCAAGCAAGGACAGACAATGCAATGCTCAACCTACCGGAGAGGTAATATCAAAGACCATTCACTCTGGTTCAAGTGACAGTTATGAACACGGCTTCAATAAAACAGTCACACTAGGCCGGAGTCCAAGCCTCGGAGCTTGAGTAGCTCAGAACGGCCATTGCCAAATCCTTCCTCTGTCTCACACCAGATGTTCTTACAGTACAGCAATCAACCTTGACTACATTTTATTCTAATGCTAAAGCTTGATTAACATTTGGAAATAAATACTCACACGGAAAGCTACAGATATCACAATTGCTGTAAGGGATTCTTTCACTCTGTTACATTATCAGACTCCATAGTTGTTTTATATATATAAAGCACTGGGGGGTCCCTGGGTTGAATCGTGGTCAGGACACTATCTGCATGCAGTTTTCATGGTCTCCTGTGCTGTGGGTTTCCTTTGTGTACACACTGCAAAATACATGCTGGAAGGTTATTTGGCTCCCGTCTAAATCAACCCTAGTATGTGTGCATGTGAGGTAGGGACCCTAGATTGTGAGCTTCTTGAGGACCGGGACTGATGTAAATTGTTGGCACTATAAAAATACCTGTAATAATAATGATTTTCAATAACAACTTAAAATTGAACCTAATACAAAATACTTTTTGATTTCACTGTAGATGCAAATAATTGGTGAATACTTTTCATAATCCAAATATTTATATCATAAAAACCTATAGCATTGCCCTAATAACCTTCCTATCAAAATGCTTTTCGTGCATTTAGTAGGTAATGAAATCGTTGAGGTTTTGTATGGTTGGCTATGTAGTAGGTGGTGGCCCTTTTGTTCCATTAGTCACCATTCCTGCTTTTTCCCAACAGGTAAAAATCTGGTTCCAGAACAGACGTATGAAGTGGAAGAGAAGCAAGAAGGCAAAGGAACAAGCTGTCCAAGATGCAGAGAAACAACAGAGAGGAAACAAGGGCAGCTGTGAAGAAAAGTGCTCAGAAGACAATCAGGAAGAGAAAAGCCCATCCTACCATGTTCACTCCAGAGGGGAGTCACTGAAAGCAGGCAGCCGCATTCCCAGAGACTATACAGACAGTGAAGAGGAGGAGGATCGAGATGATGATGAGGATGATGAGCATAGAGATGATAAGCACTTCTACCATCACTCGACTGACTGTACCTCTGAGGAGGAGGACAGCAGCCAACAGCAGAGCAATCAGCTACACTGAGACTTGGACAGTGCCCCTTTCTTCCCCTCAAAGGCCTATCCCAAGGTCCTCCAAGCCGCTGCAGTATTGTTTATGGGGGCCAGACTCCCTTTCATCATATCTAAGAAAAGAATGGAAGATAAAGAGAAAATTTACCCCAAAATGACTTTTACTAAGTTGACAAGTAACTCCATCATGGAGACCTCTACGTCTTGCTCAGGTGCCATTTGCCCCACTCTTTCATTTTTTCAATGACTCTTGTTGAGTTTTGCAGCTGTTTCCCATAAACACCCCTCAAAAGCTGGAGATAAGTAAGACAGACATTGTCCCACCTGCTTCCTGTAAGATGAAGGAATATATTGACACTAAGGACAGGTAGTGGGTCCATTGAGTCAAAACAACTTGTGCTTATTCTATATATGTTTACTTCACGAATGGTAAACCTGCTGGAGATATTATGACTATATACTGTATTTTTGTATATTGTATTTATAAAGAAATACCTCTACTTATGCATGCTAAATTATGATTTAGCTTTTTTTCCATCCTAACGATGGTGTGTAAAATAAATTTGTTTTATACTAAAAAAGTTTATCCAGATTTGTTTTTTAGTTACGGATAACACGATTGCAAAAGTAGCGTGTAAAATATATAATTTTTTTGTCACCAAGATTTGTCACCAATCACAATGAAACCTACCTTGGAAGCTTGAATGTGATTGGTTACACAGGAATCAGAGAGAGAATAGAGAGCTGGGAAGTAACAGCACAAGCTTTACCTTGTAGCAATAAAAAATTAATGGCATTTACTTGTGTGGCAGATGCACCCGCGGCATAGTAGGGTGATGGTGCTGCGAGATACCGTTGGTAATAGTAGAATACAGCAATTAGAGGTGATCTTTTTTTTGGAGCAAATGTTTATTAATACACCATATACACGTTCTGTGACTGTGTGTCACTTCATCAGTGATTATGTGTGGCGCAGGTTCTATCCCGGTCGGAAAAGCCCCCTATGCCAGGTTCCACACCATAGAACCCATTATATTCCATCTATTCTCTTTTTTCTTTTTTTTCGGTGGATACCTCTAAGGGGTCTATTCACTAAGCTGCCGTAGGCAGCCAAGTGAATGACCGACCTGAAGCGAAGTGAGCCGAACGCTGTTCGGCTATTCACTTCAGGCTGGTACGGCTGAAATCAGCTGCACATCGGGTGGCTTTGAGTGGCTTCAGGTCGGCCGAACATGCTCGGCCTTCACCTCGGCTCAGTCGGGGGCCTGGGGCCGAAGCTAGCCGAAGGATCAGCCGAAGCTATGGCTAGATCCTTCGGCTGCTTCGTGAATAGACCTGTAAGGTTTTTTTTTTTCCTTTCTATCCCTCTTTGAGCACCACCATTCAATATATACTATAGCTCAATCTTCAGGTCGTAAAACTCACCCTGTGAGGTGCCCTATGTATTCTGACAGTGAGTTACAGAAAGGCCAGACAAACTGAGGAATAGAAATTAAAGTCAGTACTGACTTGTGGTGCAATTGGAAGAAGATGGCATGATTTCAAGACAAGGCTGGAGAACTACTAGGTGTAGCATGTTTAATTACTTACTATGTAAAGCCATCATCAAAGAAATCTGTTCCTTTAAAGGACACTTTACAGTTAAAGTATAATATGTTGCAGCTGACAGTCCTTAGACGTGGTGGCTGTATTCATTTTATTTCTCCAGGCTTTTTGCTCTTTATTTTCACTAGGTGATCCTGCCAGGAACGCACTTCATATCCTACGCTGACAACACTCACTCACTGTGCTGTATCTATGTAGAGGTAGCACTGAAACTCTAGGAAAGGACTACAGAACACCTTCTCTTCTACTCTTCCCCAAAACATAGGGGGGTGTTTTTTGTCTGTTTATATGCAAACCTTATCAGGGTTTTTTTTCAGACCTAGACGGACTCTGAGGTAATTGGATGTAAATGGACGCACACTTTTTTACATCCGGCTGCCCACATACCTAACATTGAGCTTACGATCAGATTTGCCTGAAAAGCCAATAGGTGGATCTGATCAGAACAATGGTGTGAAAGGGGCCTTACTGTTGCTGGTCATGCATGGGGCAACTTTGGAGGCTGCTATTAGCTTTCAACCACAGCAAGCTGCCATCAAAGGATTTAACTATTTCTCAGTTTCAGGTATGTAAATCATTGAGGTTGGTGAGGAAATCAGTTTAAAACACCTTTGCGCTGGCATTGCAGCAGTTTTGATAGATTACAGCTGGTAGAAGGCTCCAAATTCTCCACTAAAATTGCTTAAAGAAATACTCTGGGCAGAAATATTCTTGCAGTGGGACACTGCAAGGGTTAAGTCCTTGTTTTCGTCTAGGAAAAAAGATATACTCACCTGAACCTTGCTCGCTGCTAGACCAGTCCCTGAAGCCTTTCTCCCCCTTTGTTCCTGTAGTCTAAGGTCATGTGAGTCATCCAGAGATGTACATCCCTATGTGGGTATATGTGTCTGTACGCAAGTACCATTGTATACCCATGTACAGCCATTGACTTCAGGGGGAGGATGTACACAGCACAACACCTGTGGCTTCCTGGCGGAGTGAAATATACATTGTACGGTATATTTTAATTATTTTATATTATTACTACCGTATTACTATTATAGTATTATACAAGACAAGCTGTATTTATTATTTTAAAGGGTAATTCCACTTTCCCAGCTGAATTTGGGAAAATGGAATTCCCCCCTCCCATCTGCCTCTCTCCCCCCCCCCCCCGATATACTTACCTTTGGGCGAACAGTCCTTCCCTTCCGCCTCTGTACCCCGTACATGACAGAGCAGCCCTGCGATCTGTATTTTGAATTTCGCTTGCAAATGGCGGCGTTTATTGGTTGAGAACCGCTTCTGACCAATGAGAAGTGCTTCTGACCATGCTGATGAATAAGAAGCACTTCTTGCTAAGAAGCGCTTCTCATTGGTCAGCACAGTCAGGTGACCGCGCTGACCAATTAATTTTTGTAATTTGCAAGCGAAGTTCAAAACACAGAATACATGGCTGCGCTGCCTTGTATGGAGTCCCAGCAGGGCCGGTGCTAGACTATTTTGCACTACAGGCAAGACCAGCTACTTCCACCCCCCAGCCCCCCTCCCGCACAGCTCCATTCTCCTGCCAACTAGCTTCCGCAGGCAACAGGTGAATGTAAACAGCTGGGAGCAATAGCCAGACAGCTATTGGCTATTTTAATTTCAAATAGCCAATAGCAGACTGGCTATTGAAACACCACATACTGAGCACAGAGGAGTGGACTTGAGAGAGAAAGTTGTCTCTCAGTTCCGCTCATATACTCAGTGGGTGGGTTCAATAGCCAGCCTGCCATTAGCTTTTGCAATTTGAAATAGAGGGGGGGCGTCGTGGAGGGTGAGTGGTCAAGGCTGCACCCTAGGTATCAGTGCGCCCCAGGCGGCTGCCTAGTTTGCCTAGTGGCAGCACCGGCCCTGAGTACCAGGAGGGGAAGGAGCAGTCGGCCAAACATAAGTATAGCATGAGGTGGGAGAGGGGGTCAGAAGGGGTAATTCAATTTTCCCAAATTTGCCTGGGAAAGTGGCATTACCATTTAAAAGCATAAGAGATTGTTTAAAAGGAACTAATATAAATGTAGGCTTATGGCTGATAAATCTACACACTTGACTGTTACTTCAGATAAACGGACACACCAGGAGGACCTGGTAAGTATTTGTTGTAATAAAGAGATATACAGTATTATGAAGTTAGGGATAACTGTTCTAAAGAATAATACAATCTAGATTAATATGACAAATTCTCTTTAACAATTGTTTATTGCCACAAACTACTCCATGTAAGAATTTCTCAGCCATGGCGGTAATACTTCTCTGGTAAAGTCCAACTAATACCTGTCAAAGGGCAGTGGGAACTGTTCAACAGAAACTCACATGGTTCCCCATCATCATTATCACTGTATACCTAATAACCTGAGCACGTACAATTGACAAAAGCTCCCGGCCTAATAAAAGATAATTTGCAGCCTTTATCAACTCCTGTTAACACATGTGATAGATTCCCAAGCTGCAAAGGGGTCAAAGGACATTCAAACCCGTACAAGGGGGCATTGTAAGCAGGCACGTCTTACTGTCCATGTAGTCAATGTGTATCCATTTTATTAACTTGACACACAGCTGTGACTACAACACACGACCGTCTCGCCATCCATCCGGACGGTCATTTTCTGCCATTTACTAAATACTAAAACAATGCCTGACCTGCAGAGGTGTTACTGTGCTGGAGGACAACACCAATTAGCACATTTCTCTTTCTAATTGATAAAGCAAATTCCCTCAGAAACTCTATTTACTGGAAAGTTCTGTTGTGTTAGACCTAATCTCATATGACTTGTGCTGTATCTTGTGTTACATTATATATATACTGTATATCATATAAAATATTGGGGTTGAATATGGCATGCTGAATAATTGAGCTCAATAGACTATATTCAGAAGAGGTTTTCCTTTCCTTAATCTGAATAACTAAGCTTAGGAAAAAACTATTTAGCACTTCACCTTTCTCCACAATATCCCTGACATCCCTCTTAGAGGGAATGTATTACTATTGTTATTATTATTATTAATAATAATTTATATAGTGTCTGCTCTACTGTCTATATGCAGTAAGTTCTCTTTTTGTGGTATTATTTACAGTTTTATTAAGGGCATGTTCACACTATATCCAGCTCATTCCAGCACAGTCCATGCACTATTTTTTCAGATTGCACCGGAACGCAGTGCATTGCTATACCACGCATTCTGGTGCAGACGATCTCACTGTGAGCGGGAGGCTTGTCTGTGATGCCATTGACATGGCACCGCCCCGCCCACTCCCACCCAAGAACGCAGGAACGATTGCTATATGCGATCCGATGCATTCTGGCCAATAACCGAGCCGGAGCTAACTGGATATACTGTGAACAAGCTCTGAATGTCATTTGTAGCGCATTATTTCTTCTCGATATAAAT